ACAATACCACCGGGGGCGCCACCGGCGCTCGAACTGCAGCGACGAGCCGAGACTAAACCATGACACTGTACCATCGACGCAATCAAAAAGCACTGGGCAACCAAGACTGCACAACGCCGCCACATCACCTATGTCATGGGGTACAATCGAATGGTCACGCCGGGCCGAGACAACTCCACGGACCTGTGTGCCACCGGCGTAGTCGTAGGGCATTACCAAGCATAGAACTCCACATAGCACACCCAAAACAACACAACAAAGGTGCACCACGAGCGCTCGAACTGCAGCGCGAGCCGAGACTAAACCATGACACTGCACCGTCGACGCAATCGAAAAGCATAGGGCAACCAAGACTGGACCAACGCCGCGACACCACCTGTGTCATGGGATATATTCGAACGGTCACGCCGGGCGGAGATGACGACACGACGCATGTGTTCCACTGGCGTAGCCAAAGGGCATCACCAAGCATAGAACACCACAGAGCACACCCACCATTAAGATGGGAATGACGGGAAACGTCACCGCCGCCTCGGCCAGACGCACAGCCGGTCGACCATGGATTTCTCCCAAACCCCGGTCACATCCTCCACGTGACGAGACGCAGAGCAGCCGTCAATAGCGCGGGGCAGTGCTGAAAATGGACGGTCCCAGATCTAGGTGAATCCAACCGACAGAGACGCCGGCAAGCACCCTTGGCGCCGAGGCCACCGATGAGGACCACCAGTTCGGCGCCCCCAGCAGGAAAGGCTACGAGACAGCGGCAGCCCACCGGGGGAACTAGGAGGTGGAGGGCTCCAAGGAGCAGGTGCCACGACGCCACCTTCGTTTGGCAAGCAGGCAAAGGAGCACGACAATGATGAACAGGTGGGGCGGTGGAGGCGGAAGACACGACAGTTGGATTTGCAGGAGGCGGGATACAGAGCGTGCAGTAGGCGGTCGACGGTGCGAGCTTGAGGGCGGAAGGCAGCAGAGGCCGGCGCAAGAGCGTGGGAGCAGGGGGCGCCGCGCTCAGCCCAGCAGGCAACGGCGGTTGGAACCGCCGCTGAGGCAACCACGAGGACAGGCCACCGGAGCAACCCGAGGGCGCCGGAAGCCCGTAGCCGCGGCGCGCCGGCCGGATCTGGAAGGAGGGAGTCGGCCGGAGAGAAGCACCAGGGCAGATCTGGTGGCCCCGAAGCGGATGAGGGGAGGGGGCGGCAGGACCATAGCACGCGCGCAGGACGGATCCCGCCGACGCCAGCCATCGACGGGCTTCGCCCGACGTCTTTTTGCCGGCGGCGAGGGGGGCGGTGGCTGGTGGAGATGTTGTGGTGGCGGTCGGCGGCGGTGCCCGCGCGAGTCGCCTCACAGAGACTTATGCATTTTTAATAGCTATGATCACCATATTGATAACTTCTGTTGATATATGCTCAGCTGTTAACGGAGCATGTGTTACAATGTTCCAAACATCTTTTTCAGTGAGAACTCTTTCCATTCAGACCATGATGATAGCAAATTGATGTGTATATCTTCATAATTAGTAGAGCGTGTATGCTTGTGATGACTACCAAACTGTTGAAACCCCTGCTGCTTATCAGGTCCGGTTTTAAGATCTTCCTTTCGTTCCATGTCTTGACGGTGTGTTCCTTTTTTTTTCAGGACAACTTCTGAATTCGAACAACCAACCTCATGGTTAAGAACATGATGGTGGCAACCAGTGATTAAGCTTGAAACCAATGCAAAATGCTTTCCTCTGCCACACTGAACCTGATGATCCTTTTCGAAAAACTAAACATGATGATGGTGGCAGCCGGTTATTAAAGTATTCTCTTTTTTTTGCGGGGATTAAAGTATTCAGTGTGACTAAATATTCAGTTGTACACATCCTCTTCTTTTTTGGTGGGGATTCAGTTGTACTCCCTCTGTTCCAAAATAGATGACCCAACTTTATACTAAAGTTAGTACAAAGTTGAGTCATCTAATTTGGAACGGAGGGAATACATATCAACAGTGTTGTTACCAGCAACAGACCGTTTTCGTATTGTTCAGTATATGCTGAACATAAAGGTTTTACTGAATACCGAGAGGGCAAATAACCAGTATTGCTGAACAAGGTGTAATCCGTGCTGTTAATCATTCTTTTTGCTAAGTTGAGTGTGGCCCCCGCCACCAGCCCCCACCCCTGAACCCTACCTTCTCCTTCCTCCTTCCTTCATTCAAAATTGTCTGACCCGAATTGGAGCAGTTGACTGACATGTAGCTAAACTGCATTTTTAAATAGCCTAATTTCCTCGAGATCTTCGTCTCACCTACTCCTACTTGGCTACTTCCATTGATGGTACTCGGTGATCCAGATCCACTCTCTGTTTGACCTCGTCACTAGTACTTCTCTCGCAAACCACCTCCATCGCCTTTCGTCCGCACTCGCTAGTCGCTACTCCACCACCGCCTCAGCGCCCCACGCCCCCAGCCCGCGAAAGCGCGGGATGGCGCCCAAGCGGCCACTCGGCGCCGCCCTGACGGAGGAGGAGGCTGCGCTGTGGTGGTCCCCGATGAAGCGGTCCCGGATGAAGCGGTCCCCGAGGTTTCGGCTAAAGCGGACGGTGCTCGTCGTGATGTGGCTGTGAGTACCTCCCCCCTAGCTAGCCGCTGGTCTCCTCTCTCTTCTACCGTGTCCTCAAATCCCTCTATTGAATTTGAACTCACCGCTCGCTGGCTGCTTCGCGCGGATCTGTGGTTTCGGTGGCCGCAGGGAGAGTCTGCATAAGTTGAATCTTAGTTGTGCAAGTTTGATTCATCTCTTCTTATTTTACTACTATTTTATTTTGGTCGGGAAAGCTCGATTTCTCTATTGGTATAGAGAAATGAGTTAAACTTCTCAACAGTATGTATTGCAACTTTTTTTGGGAGCTGTCAAACATAAATATATAGCATCTCTTTCTTTCTGCAACAGCATGTCCAGGCCCAGCGGGACGGCTAGGAAAAGAAGAGAAATAAAACGGCCGTGGCGCTGGCTTGCTCAGGTGGTTTGTCCGTGGTGGAGCATGCTCGACGCAAGTTCGGAGCCAACGTTTGTGCCACTCGATTATTTACGAGAAATTACAGATGATTTCTCCGAGGAGCGGAAGCTTGGTAGCGGTTCGTTTGGAGAGGTTTACTTGGTAAGACAATAAATTAAATTGTGTACATGGCTTCTGGACATCAACAGTATCATACAGATCATCTGTTGGACGAAGTGGTATATGGTGATTTTTCAATTTCTAAAATTAGTGATCCGGTCTTTAGTAGGTAAAACTGCGTGAGTGCCTATGTGGGCATGTGGAGTTAATTGCACGGGAATACCATAATTGGGGCATTGAAAGCAGATTGATACCAAGTTTGGTAATTTTTACGTGTCAGTACCAAGTCTGGGGCTAACTGTTACAAAAAGGTTTAAACCGCGTATAAACATGTATTGACGGGTATCTGACCAGCGGAGCACACCTGTCGGGTGCCGATGTGGCATGTTTTTTGCAGAAAACCCCCTTGCTTTACGGAAAAAGGCTCCTATGAGAGACGCTCTAGGACAGGGACCTAAAGTGGGAGCCCGGCGTGGCCACCGCCCCGGCCGCCTCTGACTCCGTCTACCGCTGGAGACTGGCGGCGCTGCACCTCTACCCCCTCTTCCCTTTCCCTTTGTCCTTGCCCAAGGTCCCATACAAAGTGCCCCTTGAGCGGGCGCGCCATGAGGCTGACAACGAGCAGTGAGAGGAAGAGCACGGCACAAGCACGCCAAGCTCGAGCGAGCTGCAGGCCTGCGGCAACACTTGTCTTGCGGAGCCGGCGGCCGGCGCGCCATCCTTGCGGAAGACGTCGCGGCCTACTGAGGGCGGCGAGCGGATCTTGAGGCGTGGCAAGCAACCTCGCATCACGCCATTATACGTCGACCGCCGGCACCAAATTAGCTCGATTCAGAGCGCCCCGGGCCTCCTCCTCGACACCCCGGCTCCACACGACCGCCACGAAGAGCCTGGACTCCACGGCACCGACCGCCGCGACCTCAAGCTCGTCGTCCCCGTGAGCCGCATTCCGGTGGCTGTGGTAGCAGCCCGCGTCGCGTCGAGCTGGACGCGGCGCGTCGGGCTGGAGCTACGGGGGGCCATCCATGGCGGCTTGGCGTCGGGCTCCGGCGAGGTAGGGTGCTGGGGCGTCGCGCTTAACAGGAAGGCGGCGGCTCAGGGACTCCGGCATCGAGGGACGAAGGGGAAGGACAGATCCAAGGCTCTCCAGCGCGGATTGGCCGGGAAACAAGGCGGCGCGTCGGGCTGGACCTACGGGATGCCATCAATGGCAGCTTGCCGTCGGGCTCCTATCCAAAGGGGAAGAGAGAGAGCTCCGGGTGAGAGAGAGAGAAGAAAAAAATGAAAGGAGGAAGAGAAGGAGAGAGGCAGGTTGCGGGGACGGCCTGGTCCTGTTCCCCGGTGGTGGTGCTCCGATGGCCGGCCGGCGGTGAGGCGAGGAGGAGGCCGGGGCGGGGCAGGGCGGGGCAGTGGTTACGGGAGGCGAAGGAGCTCGGGCTCGACGGGAGCCCCTTGATCCAGATCAGGCGCCACCGCGCGTGGGGTTTTCTGCAAAAAAATGCCACATATGCACCCGACAGGTGTGCCCCGCTGGTCAGATACCCCGTCAATACGTGTTTATACGCGGTTTAGACCTTTTTGTAACGGCTAGCCCCAGACTTGGTACTGACACGTAAAAATTACCAAACTTGGTACCAATCTGCTTCAAATGCCTCAATTGTGGTATTTCTGTGCAATTAACTCGGGCATGTGTCTACAAGTTGTACTATATTCTATTTACATATGACCTTTAGGCCAGGTTTCACTATAGGCCGATAACCATAACAAAGATCTGCATCAGGTTCAGTTGAGCATAAGGATTTTTTTTATTTTTTTGCCTGACAAAAACATTCCAGGCTTCCAGCTACGTGACGAGCCTGTTTTTACAACAGCACATACGGCTGCAAAAGATATGTCCCCATGGCCACTTATGAACCCAGTTTCCTTCAGAAGGATTTCCATTCGGCTTGTATCGTCTCCAAGTCAACATTGATAGTAAATGATTTGTGTTGCCACATTCAAGCATAGCATTTTCTGCTTTACGAACAGAAAATTAAACCATGTGAAATCTTGTGTAGGGAGTGGATCAAGATGGGCAAAAGATTGCTGTGAAGAGAATCTATGAGATGGCAGGTGTTGATGATGGGCAATTTCAGAATGAGTTTACAAACCTTGCAAGGCTCAAGCACCGGAATATTGTGCGGTTAGTTGGTTATTGCAACCATATTCAGGAAGTACCAGCAATGTACGAAGGAAAATTTGTTCTTGCTGAAAAGATACATAGGGCGCTCTGCTTAGAGTATATGTCTAATGGAAGCCTTGAAAAGTATATTTCTGGTAAAAATGATGTTCCCCTTGTTAGTTAGCATGTCAATGTTTCCTTTTTTTCGATACCATAGCATGCTAAGTTATCATTCTTAAAATTTACATCCCAAGAATTCTCCTTATTTGGTACTGCAGATGAATGTAATAAATATGATTGGCGCACAGGCTACGGAATAATTAAGGGGATTTGCCAGGGTTTGAAATGCCTCCACATGGAAGTAAAGCCACCTATTTATCATTTGGATTTAAAGCCAGCCAATGTATTGCTGGATGAGAACATGGTTCCCAGACTTGCAGATTTTGGGATATCAAGGCTCTTTGGAGATGAACGAACGCGAGCTACAAAAAGTATTTTAGGAACGCAGTAAGCATTCTTCATATGAACTGAAATTTGAGAAGGTAAATATATTTTGGATTAGATGTGTAGTAACAGTAACTTTTATATAACATGTGTGATGCAGAGGGTACTTACCGCCGGAATACATACACAACAATTTGATCTCAAGTAAGTTTGACATATTCAGCCTTGGTGTTGTAATCATAAAGATAATGTCAGGACGGGCGGGCTACTCAAAAATTACTGACATGTCTCCCCAGGAATTCACTAATCTTGTAAGAGAATGTGTTGCCATTATCAAGATCATGTGCATGTAATTCATTATAATACTTTGATTATTATAATATATAACCACTTTTTGTGCTCTAAATCTGTAGGTACAGGAAAAATGGACAAAAAGGCTACATGAAACATCGAGTCTGATGAAGGCATATTCCAAGCAAGTGAAGACGTGTATTCAAATAGGTTTAATGTGTGTGAACGATGATCGACATAAAAGGCCATCTATACAGGATATTGTCAATAGACTGAATGAGACAGAAACTGAGTGTACCTATGCGGCAAGAAAGGACGGGTCGTTGATTTACCAGGTTTGAACTGATCGCTTTGACATATAGTTTCTTCACTATAAACTATCTCTTCTTATTTTCTCATTGGTATTAAAATACGAGTCTGAAATTATATGGTGCACCACAGAAAATATTATGCTAATGATGGCCATGAATTTTCTTAGGGACTACTTGGTTTGGTACCAAAAATTGGCTTGCCAATATTTAGGCAAGCCAAAATTGCTACCAATTGGTTGGCTACCAACTTAATTACCATCACAACCTCTCAAAACTTGCCAATTTTTGGCAGATTTTGGACTGGCTAAGGGGCTGTTTAGATTTCGCCTGGGTGCGCCCTGCCAATCGTGGGCGAGCCAATTAATTGTCGCGGGATCTGGCCGCCTCGGACCTGCCAACTTTTTGGCGTCAAACTGAACCGGGGGAGCTGGCATGGGTTGGGCACACCAAACTATTGGCTCCCATCCAAATGGGAAGCAGGGCTTGGTCAACGACCAATTTTTTGGATCGGCAGCTGAGGGCTGCAATCCAAACAGCCCCTAGATGCTGGTTAGCCAATTTTTGGCTGCCGCCATGCACGCACATATAGTTTGATTCAGACATAGTCTATTTTAGGCAAGTTAATTGTACTCCCTCTGTCCGGAAATACTTGCCGTACAAATGGATAAAATTGAATGTATCTAGAATTAAAATACGTCTAGATACATCCATTTTCCCGACAAGTATTTCCGGTCGGAGGGAGTAGGTACGAGGCTGTGTGTGTGTGTGTGTGTCTTAGAGCTGGACCCATGAGGCCCATGTTTATGGAGTTGTATGTGTAGCAATGAAGAAAGATTAATGAAAATGGCGAAGAAAGAAGAGGAACCGAAGGATTCCGGATTTTTTTCCAAATAACCACATGGTATTAGAGCCGACGACGTTTGATCTGGCTTTGGAGGAGAGGTACCCACCTGGGTGTAAATGTCCAGGCAAGGAGCTGAGCATCCAACTCAAGGAATAATTCTGACTATTTAAAGCCCCCTTTTCGTTGGCTCTGCTGTTAGACATTGGCACATGTGACTTTTGTGGTTATGTATGTGGATATTGCAGCTTCTTTCTTTTTGCGGAAAAACATCCGATCTACTCATCTTCAATCATGGCAGTACAATGAACCCCCGAAATAATAAAATTGCATCCAGATCCATAGACCAATTAGCGACGACTACAAGCGCTAAAGCGAGCCGAAGGTGCGCTGCCGTCATTGCCCCGCCCTCACCGAAGCCGGGCAAAACTTGTTGTAGTAGGCAGTCGGTACTGGTGGGGGAGGGGCGGTGAAGTATTGGCTATATACTGCTCCCTTTAACAAGTTCCAATGAAAATTGTTCAGATTTGTAATAAATTCCATCCAAAAAAATCCATCCCACAATTTTAAATTGACAAACTGAAATGTTTCCTGGATGGTAGATTCGAGAGGATGACTCAATCACATCCATGGGTGCAAGTCTAACTGGCCAACAGAATGGACACTTCAGCTTCTCGATAACTGATGCACCTGGTACTTATCCTGTATCAGGTGTGCTTGCTACACCCAGTTTTTCTAATTTGTATTCAGTGTTCTAGACTATCAATAGTAAAATCACTTCTCCATGATGCATTGTTGGGTGCTGAAGATGTTGCTGGGACTACCCCAGGTGGAGTTAGTCTGGGAATCTCTTCACCTAACCATGTTCCGGTTGACATGTCCAGTGAGCCTCCTTCAGATGAAGTATGTGTTCTTTTCAATAAGTTGGATATGTCATGGGAATTACTGTTTAGAACAGAACATATATCTTTGTGCAGGCTGAAGTATATCACTATATAACAGTCATATGGCTTTGTTCTTGCAGTTTGATGCGACAGACCAGGGCATTGCACCAGCTAACAACGGTACGCGATTTTCAATACCCATGGTACTTGTGATGACTACCAAACGGTTGAAACCCCTGCTGCTTACCAGGTCCGGATTTAAGATCTTCCTTTCGTTCCATGTCTTGACGGTGTTTCCTTTTATTATTTCAGGAGAAGTGCCAAATTCCAACAATCAACCTCATGATTATGAACATGATGGTGGCAACCAGTGATTAAGCTTGAAGCCACTACAACATGCTTTCCTCTACCACACTAAACATGATGATGGTGGCAGACGGTGATTAAAGTATTCAGTGTGACTAAATATTCAGTTGTACATATCCTCTGCTTCTTCTTTGCGGGGGATTCAAATGTATATATATACTATTAACACCAGGAACCATTCATTCCCATAAAGAAGGCAATCTTTTCTAGTAAGGCGTTTCGGTGCCTAGGCTCATCTGCACCCGGCTAGAAAAAAATTGTAAAAAAATCGACAAAAATAAAAAAAATCCAATTTTTTGTGTGCGGTAGACAATTTGATGCACGAGGCCCGTTCCAAATTTCAAGTCATTTGAACATCTGAGCAGCTCTCAAGAAAAAAAGACAAATCGGATCAAAATAGTCCATGAACAGTAAACATTTTTATAGACCCCATTTTATCTTTTTTGCTGAGAGCTCCTCTTATGTCCAAATGACTTGAAAATTGGAGCGGACCTCACGCATCAAATTGTCTACTGCACACAAAAAGTTTGGATTTTTTTAATTTATTTAGTATTTGTTTTGATTTTTTTCGTAAGCACGGGTGCAGATGAGCTCGGGTGCATATGGATTTTTGAATCTTTTCTATCTACTATGTGTTCTTCTCTTTCTTATCTTGGCTATATACTTATATATACAACAGGATAGTCCATGCCACATAAATCGGTCATTGGCTCGTTGCTAGTGATACTTGTTTCCTCCTTTGTTTGCATTTGGTCTCAACTGCATATTAACACCAACGTCAGTGTTCATGTAGTCGTATTACTTTTTGTACCATTGAAATCCAAACAACTAGCTAGCGTGTCATGGCAACGGTACATGATGATATGCACGCATGGAATTCCTTGAAATGGGAGGCATCATGAATCATGTGACATGGGTAGCTTCATCATCCTGTCTATGATAACCTTACAACCCCACAAATTGTTTCTGAAGCACATGCTATAGCTGGCTCTTAATTGTTAAATTTTTTTAACTCATGTAAGATGCTTACATCACCTTACCGTACTTCCTCTAATGTATCTTCACCTGATAAAAAACGGAGCCCAAGGCCCGTGTTCATGTTCACCATTCGAAAGGGGAACTTCACACTTTTTTTCTTTGATAAAGGGCGTTTTATTATCTTTAAATGTAGTATCAAGCGGATACAAGACATTATGAGTAACACCCGCCCTTTGCATAATTAGGATGCACACAGCCAAACCCAAAAGTCTAACAAAAAGAAAATGTACAAAACCAGCAAATCTGCAACGGTAGAGTCCTATAGACCAACAAATCTGCCACCCATGTTGGAAAAAACCTCCATAGCCGCTTGCTCCAACCGTGTACGTACTGCCTTGAACAACAGTTGGTGTTCCGGTCGTTATAGCGTAGACGTAGAGGAGAAGCACCTTTGTCATTAAAAACCAAATCATTTCTACATAGCGAAAGCGACCAAAGTAAGGGATAGACTCCCACCACCCTTATTAACGTTTTGAACCTATTCCTTTCCAGGGGCGGAGCCAGGATTTTGACATGAGGGTGGGGGGGGGGGACAATTACCATACATAACAACAAACATACGTATATGTTAAATATTAAACAACAACACATGCTTTTGCCACGAAAATAAAGTACATAACTTTGTTTGTTTAAATGAATGCTGACCCCGCGTCGTCCTCAACCGGGCAACACGGGGGAATCCTCCAGCCGCCGGCGGCCCCTCCCTCACCTCCTTCCCCACCCCCGCCGCTGCTGGAGGAGGCCGTCCGACGGCGGACGACGGCGGCGGGGCGTCCTTAGTTTTTCCTTAATTTTCTCCCTCGCCCTAGCTCATTCTCCTATCCCCACATCCATTGTTGATCTGATCTGATCTGCCAAGACAACCTGGCCAAGATCGTGGCGCCGATCCCGGCATGGACAGCGCCGTTCGGTCACAATCTGGCGAGGCGCGCGATCGTCCACAGTGACGGAGGCGAGGGGCATGATGCCATCCGCGGCTGCCCACTAATGTTCCTTGTCTGGTACCGTTGTGTGGCCTTTGCCCGAGATCTTCGCCGCTGCGCACAGATCACCGTGACGAGGAACAAGCGGCGGCGCCACCACATCGTATTATCCACCTCGTCGGCTAGGGATTAATGGAGGTGGGTATGTCAAGATAGATCGAAGGCCAGAGGTTCTACGCACTCATACTATGTGAGACTTCTTGGTAATGGCAGTGATGTAAGAAGAAGACTGGATGGGGCAGATCGGAAGAAATTTGCGTGTTGGACGATTGGAATCTTGCAGCAGTAATCTCGGCGAGTGGGGCGGCGACACTGGCAGACTTCGTTCTTGGCGGTCTCAGTTTCCGGGGTGAAAACCCTAGGTCTTGTACCTGGCAATGGCGGCTTCCTAATCGTTTCCTTGTTGAAGGCACTGTTTGGAGATTTGACCTTCTCCAGGGTGAAAACCCAGGATCTGACTATGATGGTTGGACCGGACGACGATGGTGTTTGTGCACTATAACCTTCTTGAAGGCGTTCGTTTTTGGAGAATCTTTTTCGGAGTCTAGGTGTTGCCATCACTGGTTGTGCTCTTGCTGCTGCGAGCCTCTCTTTGTTTCAACTGGGCCTTTGTTTTCTTTTTTCTTCTTCTTTTATTTTTTGGCTGTGTGCATCCGTGATGTCTAGACTTGATCTGGATATTATGTTGTTGCAGAGGCTGGGTGTAATTGGTATCATCTTGATATTAATATATTCCCTTTGTCGGAAAAAAATGAATGCTGACCATGTATTAAAAGAATGTTAACCTTGCATCGAAAATATGTAAATCAAGTTTTGAAAATGTTAAATGTGTATAGAACAAATATTGACCATGTACTAAAAATGTTAATCTTGTGTTGAAAAATATTAATCAAGCATTTAAAAATATTAAAAATTGTACTAAAAATGTTAATCATGTATTAAAAAAAATTCGAAACGTCAAATGCTATCTACTTGTGCAGTTCAAAACAAAAATATCATAGATAGACAAAGAAAGTGTTCCCAAGTCATAATCAGTGGAATGCTTTTATCAAGTTCTAGGTCTCTCTCTGTACTAACAACCACAAGGTCTGTCTGGGATTTTGGATTGCTAGTTCAGTTTTACTGGTCTGTCTCTCTTTAAAGTATCTCAATGTTCTATTTTTAGTGCACGGATGAAGTCATAGTTTAATAGTTTATTAGTTGATTTTTGTTTCAATCTCGGAGCTGGGGATCTAGACAGGTAATCTTGTATTTGAAATATGTTAATTAAGCATCTGAAAAAAAATGTTAAAAAAAGAATTTGAAAAATGTTAATCAAGCATTTGAATAATGTTAAATGAGTGTAGAAAAATGTTGACTAGGTATTAAAAAATGTTAATCTTGCATTTGAAAAAAATATATGTTAATCAAGCTTTGAAAATGTTAAATGTGTATAGAGAAAATATTGACCATGTATTAAAAAATGTTAATCTTGTATTTAAAAAATGTTAATCAAGTACATAAAAATGTGGAATTTTGAATAGAAGAAGGGAAATAATAATAAAACCAAACAAAAAAGAAGAATAAGAAAACATAACTGGACGAACATATCAACGAACAGATAAATGACCGAATGAACAAGTAAAATGCTATTGGGCCAACCCATACGTGTGCCCGCTGCAGGAAAGCTTCTGATGAGACGGATGCTAGTCTCGCTTTAAGCGAGACATACCATCAGCGGGGCATTTTGGCTCGATATGGTGGTCAAAAGAGCTTTGACGTCCGAAAAAATAATACCGCCAAAAGGTCCACTGCGTCATGTCGATTTGTTTGTGCAACTGAAGGCCGTCGATTGCGGGATAGAAGGGACCATTTAACAAATTGCCCTTGAGGTGCAACTAGAACCACCCCCACCCCCCTCGCCTGCGCACGCGGCAGATCCGGGCGGATCTAGCCGCACGCCACCACCCGCGTTCGACCCCCAAGCAGCCTCCGCACCACGCCCGGAGTCCAGGCCGCCGCTGCGCCACCAACCACTCGGCTGCACCGCCACGCTGCCACGAGCCGCACCACTGCCCCGCACGCTCGTCATCGTGCTGCTAGGCCCTGCGGAAGCCCAGCGCCGCCGTCTCCCCAAGAACATCTAGACATGCAGACAGACCCCCTTTTTTTTTGCGAGAAGGGACAACTAGTTCATGCAGCCCCTGCGCAAAAATAAATAAAAGTTCTTTCAGCACCATCTTAAATTTTCACTAATTTCGCAAAAAAATTTTTAATTTTTTACCATTGAAGAAAGAGCGTATGCATTACAATCTGCCCAGGCCAGAGAAGAAAAGTCTCGAGCGTAAAAGAATGCTCGAAGCTGCCTTCAACTTTCCAGGAAGAATGGAAGAGGCCGATCAGTCTTGCTCCGTTCGATGATTCGGAGACTGGCTAGTTATAGGCAATCTCGATGAAATCCGCAAAGTCAGACCAAAATGCCCAGAACATCCCCGGAAAAACCCACGGAAACTGGATGGAAAATGAAGAGAAATCCCCCGTACGTCCTGCGCAGCAGCGCGGTCTAGTCTTCTCCTCCCGTCCCCACGCGGTTCGCTTCAATCTCTCCGGATTATCTTTTATTTACGGTTTAGTAGTAGATGGAAGCATCGCAGGGATTTCCGCGTCCGATCCCCGCACGAGCGCAGTCGGCGCGGCGTCTCCGTCGTTCACACATGACATGACTGCTTCTTCTCCTCATGGCGGCTTCTGCTATCTCTATATATCATGCCTCCCGCCATCTTCAGTTCTTCATGTTCGCGCGCTGCAAAGACCGCAGCATCTCACTCGTTACTGTCTGCCACCATTGTTGTTGTTTGTTCCGGTGTGGATGATTCACCAAGATCAGTGTGGATGGTCATCGTCTTCGGCAGGTGGTACCTTTTTGCAAGTTATGCATTTCGTGTTCATAATGATCTCTGTATTTTTCTCGACGGAGGAGCAATGGGTTAGTTACGAGCTACAACAGAAGAAGACGACCTGACAAGCCAGCCATATGGCAGTGTACCCTCTGGGCCGTTGATGTTTATCGGAGAGATTGTATATACAGGATTGATCTGATCTGATCATAACAAGTTGGGTGCTTAATTCTCAATGGAGATCTGTCTGTGGTGCTACATGTTCTCAGTTTTTGTTGCTGTTGAGATAACTGCATGTTCTCGGTTAAGCAAAGAAAACCTACTTGAATTACCTTTTTCACAGAGGGCAAGAATGCTGACTTGACCAAAATGTCAGAAAACAGAACGAGCTGATGAGCGCCACACACACACCCGCTCTCATGGCTTTAACAGAACGGAAGGGGGAAAGAGGTACTAATGGCAAGGCGATGAGAGTTGGATATATTTAGTTCTCAACAAGTTATGATAAGTGGATCAGGGATGGTTAGGACGTTAATTGGTGTGGATGAATATAATGGTAGTAAGAAACAGGAAATATATTTCGTACCAGACATTTTGTATGTAACCCTAGAAGAAGTGAACCATTCGGTGCCGTCCAACTTAAGGAGATGAGCGGCGGGAGGAGTTGGAAAACAAGATGAAGAGGAAGAGGAATAAGATGGAGAAGTTTTCGCTCATGTTCTTCTCCGCTACACCAACTTCACCGGACCCTTCTCACCTTGCTCACCTTGAGTGAAACCCTTTCAACTACGGTGAGGTGAGCAAGGAGGGAAGGAGATAAAGGTGGCAGCTAGGGTTTCGCTTCACCACCCCTGGGAGTGACTCGGGTCTACATCTGCTCCAGATGAGCAAATTTGCAAATATAATTTTACTCGTGTCTTATTCGATGTAATGAGTTGTATTTGTCCATGGAGCCCTCTAGTTCCCACATGCCTCGTTTAATATAAGCATGGCCTTTATTTACGAAGTATCTACGCCATATGTACTATTTAAATCTTAGATATTGTTTGTCAAGTAATAGAAAACTTTATCTGATACATTTGATCTTCTATGTTCACTTTATACGAGAATTCTATGTTTCTTCATTCTATAGAATGTTGGACCACTGTATATGCTCTAATGACAAGCGGTTGCATCCCAAATGACATTGCACACACAATATAACCTACCATGACTTTCTAAAAAGAAGTTCAACTATCATGTCAATTAACGACAATCCAAGCAAAATGGGCCATCATATGAGTTTGGTTGGTAAAATACGTGCATTTGCTAAAAGTTTAGGATGGCGATTCTCCTCGCCTTCGATGATCGTCTAGGTATTGAGTGGGTTTAAGGGGTGAGCTGTGGATCCTCGATGGTTGTGTTGTTAGGGTCCTAACCATGGCTAGGGTTAGGTTTCCAATAATGGTGGTACCTAAGCGGTGGGGGTATCGGCATAGTGGAGTAGTTGGTCCTTCTAGATTCGTCCTCATCTTGAGGGTGGCTTCATGATTGACGACAAGTTAGCGAGGCATCGCCCAACGGGTTTGTGTGGTGCTTCAGCTTATTTGGATGGCGCCACCAACCTCAACTCAAATAACTCCCAAACCCTTTTTGCTATCTTAAGGATGAGATCTCTGAGTAGGGCATGGGAGATTATGTCATTTTTTGATTGGGCCACGTCTTAGAAAACGATGCCAAAGTAATGGCGGATCCGCATGGAAGTCTATACCTGGCGTGAAGCGTCACGAACCACCTCGAATGACGTTGGTTTACTGTGGCTTCCGTGGTTGGTCGAGAAGGGCTTGGGTACAAGCTGGTTTATTGTTTGAGCTTGCTGACTTGGATGAGTGTTTTCATTGTGCAATGTTGTTGTTTATTTTACTCAATGTCAACCATCGCGAACTTCTTACAAATTCAAAGTGGCGAGTAGTTGTGAGAGGCAAATGTCGTTGTCATCAGTTATTAGATTAGAAAAAGAATGGACGCCAAATGAGCCCCCCACAAAAAGCATCCGAACTTGTTTTTTTGGGGGGAATTTCGGCGAACTTGGTTGTGCGGGGGTGACGACATCAGGACTGCGTAGCCGGCCGTGGCGCAAACCCGAGGCCTGCGGGCCACCACCACCACCGCCCCGGCCCGAGCCCAACACGTCGCAAGGCACGCGCAACGGTCTTGCCCCGCCCGTGTTCGTCCGTGTGTGCGTGACGGCAAGATGACGAAGCTTCTCCACCTTCACTTGGCCTCCTCCCTCCACACTCCTCCTATTTTTAAGCACAGCAGCCAGCAGACAGGACAAGCGCCAAGCGGCAAGCTCCCAGCTCAAAGCTCGCCCCTCAAACCCAAGGACCCAAACCCCACCATCCCCATCACCGCATCCGCCCCGCGCCCCCGCCCCGGCTAGCCCACCGCCGCAGCGCCGCCCAGAAGCGCGTGATGGCGGCGCACACGCACAAGCGGCCGCTCGGCGCCGTCGCGCCGGAACAGGAGGCGGCGTGCTTCCCGAGGAAGCGGCCGCTCGGCGCCGCCGCGCCGGAGCAGGAGCAGGAGGCGCCCTGTTCCCCGAGCAAGCGGCTGCGCCGGGCGGGGCTCATCGTCATGTGGCTGTGAGTACCTCACCCCTGACCCCCACCTATCAGCCGCCACACTTGGTCTCCTCTTGTGCCGCTCCCTCGGTTTCGCCATTCAATTGCTTCCACGATTTGAACTCACCGGCCGCGCTTGCTTCGTGCGGATCTGCGTTCCCGGCCGCCGCAGGGAGAAGGGCAAGGCGAGGGTGGTCACCATCGGGCAGATGGCACAGATGCTTCGCCAGTCGCAACTCGACGTGGCAAACTCGGTCATGGAGAGGCTCCCCAACATACTCGAGAGAGTTTTGGGGGAGCATTTTGGTGTTTTCAAGAGGTACGTACACATGTTTTTCTCTAGCACAGCTGAGATGTTCTACTTAGAATTAATTTTGGATCGGTCTAGCTAGGTAACAAATTTCCCTCTAGCTCTAGGAAATGGTTTACAAACCAATAGAGGAAATGCACATTTCAGGAAAGTAACGGCCGGTTTGAAGTGTGCCGACGTGCTTGTGGGAACTGCCAGTTTTTATCCTCTGAAAACCACACGGCTATTTTATTTCTTTCATAAGAATGCTATCAGCAGCGCACGAGCTCATATAGAACGGGAAACTTGACAGTCATACTACTTCAAGTTCAGATAATCAAGTTATATATTCATGGAGTACAGATAAGCCATGGATTTGATCTTCTTCTTTCAGTAACCATAGCTGCATAATATACATAGAAATGGTCTCTGTGAGTCTATTTATTGAGTGTTCAACTTTGGAGAGTTGTGGATGTGATGGATAATGCTTCCTATGTTTAGTTAATGGGCAATTAATTGTATCTCTTGTTGTTGTTGTGCTGTATCCAACAGTTCTATTATGGGATGCATAGACGATAAGGTTCAGTTAATTGTACAGACAAAGGTTAGTATCCATGAAACAATCTTTTGTACTCCCTCCGTCCGATAATGTAGTGTCAAAAAACATCTTACATTATGGGACGGAGGGAGTAGTATCTCTTTTATTGTGCTCCTGTGTGTGTCCTAACTCCTTTTTGTTATATCATGCAATAGATGCAGGAACAACAAGCTGCTTCGCTTCCTAGTGGAGTTTCTGAGCCTCCTAGGTATCTGACGTTATAACTTTCTCCTGTGTCTTCCTACAGTTGTCAACACTAGTTCTGCATTAGAAGTTGAGCACTGGACATGCATAGTTCCTCTGCTTAATACTCTCGACAGTTTTTTTTTATTCATGTCATGATACCAAAGTTCTGCCAAACCAAGTATATTTGCTTTCTACATAATCTGTGAAGTTTCCTTTTTTGTTACTGTCTCACTCTCGTCCTGTTTTAAATGTTAGGCATGTATCGGAAGGCTTTCCTAAAACTGGAAGCGTCACTGGAGTTGTCAAGCTATGCTTTGATGTTGCAGGACCAAAAGATACACTTTTCACGCGTTGTCCTGTATGGAAGAATGGAGCAAATGCTAAAGTAGCAATACTTCAAAATGAGACACAAATCACGCAGGGTGATCTTTCTAAATTGCAAATTGAGATTTTACCTGTTCATGCTGATTTCTTTACTGGACAAGAGGATTTCACCAAAGATGAATTCAACAAGCAAATATATATGTATAAAGGGAAAGAGTTGGTCTTGGCAACTGTTAGTCTATCAAACGGCGAGTCCTCTCTTGGTTCATTCTCCTTTCCAGAGAGCTCCCACGGGAAAAAGTTAAGATTAACAGCTCGAGTGAAAAGGCAGGATCTTACTGTCAGAGTTCAGGAAGCAATCACTGATCCTTTTGTCGTCAAAGACCGTCGAAGTGAATGTGAGTATATTCACTTATCCATTCTGAGCACCAATTTTTTTTAACTATATCGAATTGGAGGTACACTGTGTAGTCAGCTGAAGAGCATGCTTCTCCTTTAAGTGTCTGACAAGCTGATTTGAGTAATAAAGAAAATCTTACAGCACATAGTATATCTTTCAAAGAATGATTATGGCCTTATGCATGCAGTGACATTATTTTACCTCAAAATATGATATTTTGGTGCTAAATGTTCTGCTTTTTGAAGGGGATGGCTTGTTCTGCCAAAAAAGGGTAGCAGTACTGTCAGTCACTCTTCTTTGCTCAGTACACAGTTTATGTCGATTCGTTCATTTCGTTGGTAATGGAGAAAGGGTGGGCACTCTGTAGTTTTTCAATGTTGTACGTGCTAGATCAGTAATAAATTGGTCATAATTACCATGACATTAATCCTTTGGTAAAAATTATTAGATGCAAATATAGCTAAAATGATCTCATTTAATATTGGCAATCTTGTCTGAACTCTGAACACACCCAACCTTTTTGCCTACTTCAGCAAATGAGAAGAGTCCTATTCCATCCAAGGAAGACGATATACATCAACTGAAGAAAATTTGCTTAAAGGGAAAACATCGGAATAACCTTGTGGAGAAAAATATTACGAAAGTGAAGCACTTGTTGCGCCATTATCACAATGATAAATTTGGTCTCCAAAAGGTATATATGCAGTTATAATGATATGTCTGCACTCTTCGATGTTCCAAATTACCTGTAATAGATATTAGTCATTAGTTACATTGTCCTGGATCAGGATAAGATATTCAGCATCTCTTAGGACTTATTTGGACATGTACTGCTAAATGTACTAATATGCACTATAATATCTGGTATCTTTTCATTAATTGATAATATAATTTTTAATTTATGGCAATTAGCTTGCTGGCATGAAGAAGGGGGATTGGAATACCATGATTGAACATGCTACCATGTGTGTTCCTGGGGATGAGATCTATTCCTATTTGGTTCCAGAGGATAATTGTCAAATCTTATTCAATGATTTCTATGATCTTGTCGGTAAGATAACTGATAACTATGTTCCTTACAGTGTCGACGACGTCGATCAGTTTCCACAGGTGACATCAATAACACTCTTCCACTTATATCACAGTTAGGCAGTTGATAGTCACTAAAATAATAGTGCGCTCATAATTACATTCGAATATTCTGTTACAGCTTAAAGTGAAGAACTGGAAAATGTCTGCATACAAGAAATTTGAGGAGCTGGAGAACTCAGGGGGTCTTATCCCTGATTATTTCCTGAGTAACGGCCGCCTTATCCCGGCAGCGCCTCCGAACAACGGTGCCAGTACTTCCAAAAATCAAACAACTGCAGAATTTGGTGAGCAACAACCATTTCTGCAGGAGAGTGGATTCCCGCTGGCACAGATCTTTGCAAACAATGTTGCTGGCCCTTTGAATCAAGAAAGACCACCATTTGCACAGTACAGTTACGAACAGGTTACGCATCAAGGTAAATACTGATCACATGTCCAATTTTGTACCAAACATAGTCCACATCGTGAGTGCTGCCTCCATGCATAAAGTATTATTATTTCTACTCACAATTTTGGCAATCAATTTTCTGTAGAACCATATCAGCAGGATCCTTTTATGGGGTGTAATGGAATTCCTTCCTATCTGACCCAAGGAAACATTGATGGTATGGGATCATTTCCAGCATGGTCAATCAGCCCATCCCACAATTCTGCACCAGTAAGTGGAGATTCTTGTGACAGCATCAACTATTCCTTCCCACAATTGTCAACCTCAATTATTTCCTGGATGTAGGCTCAAGAGAATGATTCAATAACTGGTGCAAATCTAACTGCCCAACGTAATGCATACTTGACAACTGCCACTCCTGGTAATTTTTGTCTTGTAACAGGCGTGCTTGCTACACCCGGTTTTTTTAATGTCAATATATGGAGTGTTCTAGATACACAAATCACTTCTCCATTATGCATTTTTTGGTGCTGATATGTTAATTGTTGGCACTTCCTCAGGTGGAGTTAGTCAGGGAACCTCTTCACTTATCCATGATCAAGCTGGCATCAGTGGATTATATCCAATTGAAGTATGTGCTTTTCTTTTTAAGGAGTTGGATAAATCATGGGAATTATGCTTTACAACAGAGCAATTATCTTTGCTCAGGCCAATGTATATCAGTCTACAGCAATCACATGGCTTTAGATTTGCTTTCGTTTGCTATGTCCTGAAGGTGTTTGTTGTTGCGTTCCCAGGAATGGCTAGGAGTAGAAGAAGCACATGTGGCAGATCAGAACTATATACCAGCTGACAACGGTATGCAATTTTCTATGCCCACGATAACCATAGTGATAACTTCTGTTGATTTAAGCTCAGCTGCTAGATCACAGAGCCTGGCAATTTTAAGTTTTTAACTTCTGATGATATCAAATTTGTTTACCTTCACAATAAGCAGGTCGCGTAAGATTGACTGATAACTACCAAAATGTTGAAACCCTGGCTGCTTAGAAGTTGAAATTTGCCCTGATCGTGTGTTTCTTTTGTTTCAGCAGACCTGCCGAATTCTAACAACCAATCTAATGGTTAAGAATATGATGGTGGCATCTGGTGATTGAACTTGAGACCACAGCAACAGGCTTTCCTCTACCAGAGTAAACATGATGGTGGCAGCCGGTGATTCAAGTATTCTGTGTGATTAAGCATTTAGTTTGTAAATATCGATAGTGTTGCGAGTAGTACGTCAGTATATTGCTGAATTTGCTATTGGTTGCAGTAGGCATTTGGGCTGTATTATTAAAGAACAATCTTTTAGAAAAAAGAGGGCACTTCGCTCTTCTTGAATACCGAGGAGCAACTATTCGCATTGCTGAACTTGGTGTAATCATGTTAATCAATCTTTTTTGCTGAGGTGAATTTCCTATGCATGTTGACACATTTTCACTTTTTTGAGTTAATTCCATTTTTTACTCCTGAAATATACGCTTGTGACAGATTTTACCCCCAAATCGACATTCGGTCAACTGGTGGCCTCTAATTGAAAGATTCCTTCCACATTTTACCGCTGGTTCTCGTTTTGATATTTTTTCCTCTTCAAAAACCGGTTCAGACGTTTGGCTTGGCATTTTGTCAAACAGGTCGAGGGCGCCGTCGAAACTCCGGTGGCCGCCCATCCTTTCGGATGCACGCGGCCGCCGCCTTGTGCCAGGAGTAGGACGGCCGCGGTTTAGTTAGCACCGGGGATTTGTGCCCAATTCGCCCGGCTTTGGTGACGCCTCGGACTTGGTCGCTGTCTGTCCGCGCAGTGGCGGAGCTACATGGGGGCCAACCTGGGCCATGGCCCCCCCAAGCTCACAAGAAAACATGTAGATACTCCTTTGTGTTAGGCATATTTTCCATCAAAAATCAGCTAATATAGTTAAGTTTGCCCCCCCTCTAGCCCATGGCCCCCCCCATAATTTTGGCTCAAGCTCCGCCACTGTGTCCGCGCGTGTGTCCGTGTCGTCGAGGGCCACTCCAGACAAGATGCGAGCTCCGGGAATCTACACCATGCTGTCATCCGTCAAGGTTGCGTCGGTGCAAGGAGAGCACCGCGTCTCTGTCTTGGGCCTTTGTTTCCTGCGTTGGACGGCGCATGGACGTTAAGCGGCGAGCGGGAGGAGGCGCACCCGAGAGGAGCACGGCGGCGCGTAGGAGGGAGGGTGACCGGCAGCATCGCACGGGCAGTGGCCATGGCGGAGGAGCTCGCCGGGTGGGGCATGCTCGGAGAGGACGCCCTGGGAGAGCAGCAGGTAGTGGGCACGTTCGGCTCCTGCAGTTATCGCTGCAGCTGGGAGCGGGAAGCCGGATCTGGCGCGGGGGGCGCGGGCGAGTCTGGAGTCTGGACGGAACGGAGGCCATAAGAGCAAGGATGAAGGGGACGAGGGGTTGCTATAGCTGGCCAAACGGGCGGTGCTAACTGGGCCGGCTCGGTAGCACGCAGGCCCGGCATGACCCAGGCTAAACGGGCCAGGCCCGGGCACGCGGCACGCCATGGGCCGTGCCTGGGCCTGGAGGCTAGGCACGCGGGCTGGAACGGTACGGCCCGTTTATGTTTTTTTTGAAAACTATAACAGGTATATACGGTTTTATATGTACAAACCTAATTACCAGATTACAAGACCCCACGCACGCAACTTAACAGGTATATACGGTTTTATATGTACAACTGTATATACATACATTGTATTCTAACACCCGCTGCCGATGTTGACGTACTCGCCAGGCCAGATTCAACTTGCGTGGAGGAGGCTGCAGGCTGAAAGCTCGTCCAGTCCCGCCGTGTGCGGCTGGGGCCTCCGCCAGCTTTGGCTTTCATGCCTCAGCAACGTCCCCGACCACCTGCGTGGCTCAGAAACAGATGTTTTCGTTGCTTCGCAAAAGGCCATCAGGCAGCCGGATGCACGAGTCCGATCCGGTGTAATCAATGCTTCCGCTCGGGACACCGTGCACGGGATGGCTGCAAGCCGCCATCGTCGCCGCATGCTTCATGTTCTTTCTCGGCCGCCGACCCATTCGTTGGCTTCAGTTGTTGCGTCTCCACCAACACCAGGGATCCATGAGGCACTATGCAACATGAAGACTATTTGTTAGGATTCATTTCCTTCCTCGTTGATTGCTTCGACTTCCACCCCGAAGGATGTGATGATCCAGTCTGCTCTTGCAGTGCAAGCGGAGTTATTGGGCTCTGATCTTCGCTGCATGTCTTCTTCACAGGTGGAGGAGGCAATTAAGCCACTTCGTGAGGTCGCTGACTCTTTGTAGGGCTGGTTAGTGCGTGTTGGGAGCTTTTTAGAACGTGAGGAGGCTGCTTTGCAAAGGTTCCCTATTGCACCAACTCCCATGGTTGAGTCTGTTGTTGGCTTCGTGGATGAGGCAGATGTAGAGCTCTTCGGTAGCTTCTCGCCTCGTGCTGGGTCCAGTTCGATGCTCTCTGTGTTGACGGGCTTTGAGGGTGAGGTCTGTGCCGAGGTTGTGTCTTCGGTGCTGTAGATCATGCCCGAGCTACAGATATTGTGTGGGGAACCTGCTTCGCCTCTGCCGACGGAGCAGCTCAAGTTGGGATCTCTTCAGGCTTCAGAGGTGGCCCTGGTGCCCTCACCACCCCCCGTGGAGCCTTGTCAAGTGTCAGACGGCCTATCACTCAGCGTCGTGGAGCATGGAGTTTCAGATGTTATTGCCCTTCCCTCGCCTGTGACCATCGAGCAAGTGGTGCCTATAAGTGGTATGACCATCGAGTCAAGTGTGTCGGCACCTGCTCCAAATTCTAATGCTCTCTTCGCAAAGAAGCTTTGTGACTTGCTTGCCAGCGTGGATGTTGCTAGACCTGGTTTGGGTAGGTCAATTGCTTGCCTCCTGACTGGGACGCCAACAAGGAGCAAATCAAAGAAGGTCGGCAAAGGCAAGAGTGGTGCCATAGGCAAGACGAATGTGATTGCTTGATGGATGATCTCCGATCTCTCGGCTCGTCCTCTTGGACTGGGTTGCCTTTGTGGTTTTGGAGGAGCATGATGTCTTGTGTCGAGGTGTTCTTCTTGGGTCACTTGGCGTGGTAGCAATGTTGAGGTTGGTGGTTGTTAGTTTGGAGGGGCGTATGTGTCGTTGTGGGGTTTCATGTCATGTGAGTAGTTCGTCTGTGGTACGTTTGTAATGGTTTTCGTCTGATTTTCCATAATTAATTGAGCAATTCTTTTCTTCTTAGTTAATCGACGAGGCAAAATTTTTGCCTCTGTTTCAAAAAAAAAATTAATCGTACCAAGCTGTTGAAACCCCGACTGCTTAATGGTTAAAAGTGGGCTTGAATTTAAGATCTTCCTTTCCTTGCGTGCACTGATGGTGTGTTCCTTTTGTTTCAGCAATGCACGCGAATTCGAACATCTCGTGGTTAAATTTCAGCAATACAGACTTTCGTCTACTAGACTAAACAAGATGGTGGCAAGTGGCAACCAGTGATTTAAGTATTTCAGTGTGGCTAAGTTGGTGTAGTGTTTCTGAGAAGCAACGCAGATCTGTCATATTGCTCCATGTGGACCAATGGACCATGACACCATGTATGTTAAGTTTGCTACTCCCTCTCTCTCAGTTTATAGGGCGTGCACATATCCCTAAGTTGTCAATTTGACCAACCTAATACAAGTCATATATTATAAAAAAATATATCAATATAAACTTCAGATGATCTATTTTCAAACCGTATATTTTTTGTGTTATATAGTCTATATCAGGGTGATAAAATTGACAACTTAGGTATATGCGTAGGACTTGTAAACGGAGGGAGTAGTAGACATTTGGCTTATACCTATATTATTATAAAAATATCAACCTTTTTTCAAAGTTGAGTTTCCTATGCATGTTGGCACATTTTCACTCATGGTATGCTGTGCATCATGAAATGGTTCTCAACAATTTGAACAATTGTAAAATACACACATGTGAAGAGAGAACACAATAGTTATACAAGATTGGGTTCAGTTTCTTAAATACAAGAGAGCTTCCATTTCTCCATGTTCCTATCAGCTCCTACACCAAGCCCACGCAGATCGACACCACAAGCCCTCATCAATCCTCCGCTGCCCATCTGCCAAAGCAAACAAAGAACACAAGATACATCAGTCAGTTGAGCCATGCCATGGTATGACACAGATGCAGAGCAGAGCACGTTCAGGCATGGATGCAGAGCTCACCTGACCTGGGACCGACTAGCCAACCACGCACGCATGGTAGCTACTTAGTAGCCGATGTCGGCGTCGTCGACGACGAGGTCGCCGTTGATGAGCTCGCGGTAGGCGGCGACGGGCCAGATGAAGCCCCTGGGGATGATCCTGGCGGCGAGCTCGACGTCGATGATGATCTCCCGCATGGCGGGCTTCTTCTCGCCGCTGACGGCGATGAGGTAGCTGCGGCCGACCCACCCGATCCACCCCGCGATGTAGAGGAAGAGCACGCCGGGGGTGATGAACTCGCCCCAGTGCCGCTGGTCGCCGCTGACGATGAGGTGGGGCAGGCCGTCGGAGCCGCAGAGCAGGCCGAACTTGCCGTAGTTCTCGAACCGGCGCTTGGTCTTCTCGATGGTGGCCTGGATGGCGAGCGCGGGCGCCGAGTCGGGCGCGTACTTCTTGAGCGACGAGTTGAGCTTCTTCACCGACTGCTTCTCCCGCTTGGCGAACGCCTTGGACTCCTTGCACGGGGTCAGGCCGGCGATGTCGGCGGCCGCCGGCGGCGGGGAGGTCGCGGCGGAGGAGAGGAGGACGGATGAGAGCGCCAGGGCCGCCGAGAAGGTCTTGATGGAAGCGGAGAGGGAGGGGGTGTTGTTGTCGCCGTTGGACGCGGAGCAGGAGACGGAGAGGCGCGCCGGCGGGCGGGCCAGGCGCGGCTTCGCGGCGAAGGCGCTGGAGGTGGCGATGGAGGCGGTGAGGGCGGCCATTGCTGCGTCCGTGGCGCGCGCGGGCGAGCGTGTGGAGGGGTTTGATGTGTGATCGATCAAGGGTGAGGGGTGGGCGTGTAGTTTGTGTGGGTTTGTAAGAGGAGGGGATAAGGGGCGTGGCGCGAGTG